GTCTTGCTGCCCCCATGACCAAATGCCTCTGCTCTGAGCAGAGCCGGATTAACCACATGGCAGATGCGGCATATGCCGTGGGCCTCGCGCTTTACTGTGCCACGCCCATTTTATGAGAACACAGCAATTTTTCTTTTGGGGCACGCCCATTTTAGGTGCCTCGCATTTAGGGGCCCTAGGCTGGCAGTTGGCTCCAGGAAAATATGCAAAACTTGTATATCCACTTGAATCTCCAGTTGCGCTGAGCTGTTATATGATTGTGTTTATAATTGTTGACCCAATGACTGGGCCAGGCAGGCCATTGTCTCGTTTATAATTGATGCCAATCAATTGAAATATTGAAAATAAATAATTAACAATTTTGTGAGTCTTTGAATTCAAAGGTTTTGATAACGAGGAGCGGGGGTTGGGGGCCTAAATGTGCTAAAATCTGGCACGAGACTTGCGCGACATTAATCCGGCCCTGCTGCTCAGTCAAATTAATGCATTGCCGTAAGCAAACTTACCTAACTTTACTTGGCTAATTAGCTTTGCAAGAGGTTGCTTCAGCATTTCTTTTTCTCATGTAGTCTCACTAAAATGACAAATGTTAGAGAACAAATTTACCCAAAGCACCCTGCATGATCATAACATTTCAACACTAATTTAGGCTAGAAACAGTTTAGGGGACCCCAGTGTTCCTGTTTTGCTGACAATATTAGAGAGTTTAAGTTCGACCTCCGATACAGGGTCCGAATTATCGCTACAAAACAGCTTTGCATTTTTTTTGAAAAATTTCACATTAAAATACACATTTTAGGACCCTCCCCCGTTTTTTTAGCATCACAAAAAGTTGAAAAGGAATGCGGCGCATGCAATTATTTCGAACATGACTGCAATCATTTCACACTGGATAAAGCACTACATTCTGCTAAAAATCAAACGCTTCCATAGTAAAATTGAAAATTCTAAAAATACGCATGTTAATTCTCGCATTTGTATAAACATTTAGACAACCTGGCTATGACAAGTAATTATCAAAGCAATGTTACCACGTGCTCAATGTCAAAACGTTACATTGTTTTCCCCCTAAAAAAAGGCTGCTATGTTTTGCACATATACGTACAGAAAAGTTTAAATCTTTCTAAATTTTATTTAAGTTCTACCTACCTCAACAACTGAGCCTTTAAATAGATCACGAAACTAAATGCAGGCCTTTTATTCATTAAATTATTTTATAAGAAACTTTTAAATGGTTCAAACTTTTCCGTGCATGTATGCACGCACGCATACGAAAAACGCTTAACTGGAAAGCAGCCTTAATTAAAACACAAAATTTCAATCAATAAACATTGCTAAAGTCAAGGAATTGCTGTATTTATACAGTATATAGACCTTAGGGATACTTCACAATTGGGCATGTGTCCCCACGATTATGCAGGTCTATTATCCTTGTTTATACAGGTATACATCGTTTAAAATTCCATGATTTCTATCCTCTTTGAAACGCCAAGATGTAAGTTATATAATTTTAAATTAACAGTCAAGCAAATGGCTAAACAAACAATGAATTGTCGTTCTCACCGTTGACAGCTGTGATGTAAACCTCAAAACACGAGCGCAGAACTCAAAAGTGAGATGCAGGGGCGTAATTAAGGAAGCTTCTAAAAGTTGGGGGGCCAGGCTTTGAGGGGCACTTTTTCAAAAAAAAGGGCATCCAAAAATTTTCCAGATATATAATATTTTTCTGGGAAATGAAACAATTTTTCCGGAAATAACATAGATTCAAGTTTTCAAAAGTGCCCTTTGGGCAAAAAATGCAATCTTAATGAAAATTTTTCATGCAAAAAAGGGCACTTTGCTCCCAGAAAAAGGGCACTTGGCAAAACTTGGGGGAGGCCTGCCCCCCCCACCCTGGCTGCCCCCCCCAGTTCGCCCCTGGTGAGATGCTCCACACAAATGAAATGAAATAGAAGAAAGTGAAGATTCCAGTGAAATGGAAGATAGCTGGATATCAAGCATTAACTAAAGAAGCTTCGCAACTTTTAGAAAAATCGCTTCGCAATTTTACGCAATAACCAAAATCGCTCCACATTTTGCGATTTGCAAAGTGTTAATTCGGACCCTGCCGATACCAATACCGATACTAACATGTCATGCAATACAAGTGTATTGGAAGTCACCCCTACCGAAGTCGGCTTTGTATTGGAAGTTGGGGGAATTGTAAGATAAACTCATGTAAACCTATTTATAATTATTTCATAATTTTTACGATAAACATGTAAACTATTTGTTTATTAGCATGTGTTCTATACTTTATCTGTCGTGATAACTTAACGCTTTAAAATTCACGGTACCAAAATGAGAACGCAAGTGAAAACAATGGAATCGGTATTGGTATTGGGAGTCGAACTTAAACTCTCTAATAATATAGCCATGCAGACTGTGGGCTAAGCTTTATGTTATCAAATAGGGACCGGTCGAGAAAATTTAATGTGCTCAGTCGCGAAAGACGACTTTTCTATGTCAAAGGCCACATGATTCATGGAGCAGAAACTTGAACGCTGATACCAAGAACATTTTTCAGTATGTGTATTTTGTTACTTTATGTTTATAATATAATCTTGGATTCTGTTCTATGCGATGCTCAGAGCACAGGAAATTGCATTTCCTGGGTTCAAATTTCAAAAAACCTCCGGGGGAGGGGCTTACCCCGGACCCCGCTAGTTAAGAGAGACTGAGGAATATGATACAGTCAGATTTAAGGCTAGTTCTGCCCCTGGCACAGAATAAAGATCCACACAGAAGGGCCACTTACATCGGAAGCTTTGAAATTTCTGAGGCGTTGGCCACCATCTTCCTAGCCAGTCGATTACATTTTCTGGCCAATAAACGCGCTGTATTGGCTGGAGACCCCGCCTTCTGGCCAGTCAACTGCATATTTTGCATAAAAATATTGCTTCACGTTGCACGCTGAGTGGCCCTTCTGGTACTGGTTTTTATTCTGTGCCCCTGGGCTCCATGTCCAATGCAAATTTTGTCTGCCAAAAAAATGGACATACTTCACCACTTCAGTTTCCATCTCTTTCTTCAAGACTTTACTTGCCTTTGCTGTTTCCAGGAGTTGAGAATTTTCACTATAAAACGACCAATTTTGAAAACAAATTCAACTCCAGAACACCCTGAATCATGTCGACCGTCAATTTTCAACAAATAGTTTCAAACACTTTTCCTCGCCAATGTAGAAATATTTTACATTAAATAAAAAGTACATACCTTTGAGTTTTACTTTAACTTTAGAATTCAACATATTCTCTTTAATTATGCTTCAAAAATCGGTCAAGAACGCAGCGGGCATTAGGTGTCTACTATCTAGCCATCTTGTACTAAAAACCCGGAAATGGCCGGAATGTGAAAACCCGGAATGAAAATCCGGAATCTCTAAAGCCTGGAATGAGAAGAGCCGGAATCTGTAATAATGTCCGGAATGAAAAAAAAAACGGAATCTGTACGTAAAACCCGGGATCAGACGGATCAGAAAAGCCAGAATCTGTAAAACCCAGAAAGAAAAAAAACGGAATCTGTAAAACTTTGAATGTGAAAAAGCCGTGATCTGTACATCTGTACAAATGATTAAAGCTGGAATCTGTAAAACCTGGTAAAACTTTGAATGTGAAAAAGCTGCGATCTGTACATCTGTACAATAAAAAAGCCAGAATCTGTAAACCTTTGAATGTGAAAAGGCCGCGATCTGTACATCTGTACAATGAAAAAAGCTGGAATCTGTAAAACTTTGAATGTGAAAAAGCCGCGATCTTTACAATGAAAAAAGCCAGAATCTGTAAAACTTTGCCCGTGTGAAAAAGCAACGATCTGTACATCTCAGGGCCCGCGGAGCGTATTAGAGAGTGGGGGGGGGGCTAAATCATCAATAAAACCCCCAATTAATTAATTTAGAAAGTTTCATTTAGATTTCTATTTTAATAATTTTGGCTGTCAAAAAAAGTGGGGGGGCTAAAGCCCCCCCGTCTCCGCGGTCCCTGACTAAACATCATTGAACCGCCAGTGAAACATATTCATTGCCTCATGAAATCTACTACATATCTCGAAAACAATTTATGTCCTGTTATAGTTTTATGCATAGACAAAACGACTTGAGACGTGACAAACGTTCTGTGTGTAGATGAAGGGATGAATTCGTTCTACGGTGTTTAGAATATTACTGGCCTCTTCAAACGGCCAAATTAACTGAAGCAATTTAACAGCAACCCGTGAAGGGTTTATGTTTGTCCTTCAAAGATGATTCTGAGAGCTATTCTCCAATTAAACAACAATTTGTATTAACGCCTC